AACAAACATAAACAAACAAAACATAAAAACATCAAACTGTCTTCCATGGGTGTACATACAGTGTGCCGGTTGGTTTACAAATTGTTTTGTGCATCCATTTCGTAGTCTTCAGTTACAATTACATTACATATAATCTAATATTGTCAATCAAAAACTAAATACCTTTGTATCATTATTAATCATTTGACTGTACTTTTATTTATTCATATTTTACAAGATAACCATAATTTATTTAATTTATTGTATAACAGTTCATAGTATCATCCCAAATCTATCCTAAAATCATTTTGTAGTTATAATAAAAAAGAAATACATCTTTATATATTTATTATTTTCTAGAAATCTACATATTTCATTACTGTACTTTATTATCTAACCATTGATAGAAAAGATCCCAAATTTTATAAAATTGTTTATCCTCTTGTTCTCTAATTTCAAATGTCAATCTACTCATTTCAGCACATTCCAATATTTTCTTAATGATTTCTTCCTGTGGTGGTATCTTCTCATTTTTCCAGTTTTCAGCAAATACAATCCTAGCCGCTGTTAATACATTTACAGTCAGGTATTTCAAGTCTTTACTATATATTTCAGGTAAAATTCCCAATAAAAATATCTCTGGTTTCAAGTCTATATGTTTTTTCGTCATTTTCTCCAACCACATGTGGATTTTAGTCCAGTATTTTTTGGCATCCGCACAAGTCCACCACATATGGTAAAATGAGCCAGGTTTCCAACATTTTTCAGATTTATTCTTGAATATTCTTGCTATTCTTATACAAATTTTCTTTATATGCTGTTGACATTGTCATTTTATAATTTTGAGACCACAATTTTTGCCATTTCTCTAAATCAATCCCATATCCAAAATTCTTCCCCGAAGCAATCATAGTTTCTATAACTTGTTCTTCTTCTAGTTTAATTTCTAATAAATATCCATACAATTTTTTAATCACCTTTTCATCAGTACCTGTCAAAATCTTATCTAAATCAGTCAATTAATCATAGAAACCTTCTGTTTTAGAATCTTTATCATACCTTGAATGTATTTGCGCATATGAAAACCAATTCATCTTCATACCTTGTTCCTCTAGTTTTTGCATAGATTTAAGTTCACCCTTTTCATTCAGTATTTCACCATATCTAACTGTTTGTTCCTTTTTGTATATTATAGGATATGAAAATGCTTCAATAGTCGATAACCCGACTGGAATTTTCAAATAACATTGTCTTTTAACCTTCTCCCAGTTTAACCACAGAGATTCGCGTATATAATGTCTTCTAAAATACCCCTGTGTTTTAGTTCCTTTGTACCATGAAAAAGCATGCCACCCCAACAACAAATCATGTCCTTCTAATGTCAACAATCTAGAATTTCTTAGTGTTATCCATTCCTTAACCCACATCAAATTTGTAGCTTGATAGAGAACCTCTTCCTTCTTGTGCATCTTCTTTCTTTGTTTTATGTTCCAGTCTCAATTCTTCCAAGAGAGATACCATTTTAAAAACTTTTAAACAACCACCCGATTAATTTTAGTCCTTTAGATCCGATAGCCAAAAATCCAAGTATCACCAAGTAATCCAAATAATCCAAAGCTGTTTCTTCTAGCTTTCTCGTCCTGGGATTCTCTTATCTTGTTACAAAGTTTCAGTTAAAATGTATCTTTTAGGAATCTTGTTAAAGTTTCACTGTTAATTCCTTTCACTTCCAGGTGGTCTCCTCCATTTTTCCAGATCCCACCCTTTTGGTTTTTTCCTTCTTTTAAAAGTTTTTGAGAATCCAGAAATCTTTATTATCCCTTTGACATTTTATTTTCAGCTTAAATACCTGTTAATGTCAAAGTGGATTTTTGCCGGTTTCTTCCTTAAATCTCTTAGTTGTCAATATAGGGAAGAAAAGAAAACAACCCAAATCCTTTCCCTTCCCTTTCTCATTCGCCGCTTCAAAGTCTTATTTGGGAACAATGTTATTCTTTATAATTCAAATTCCAGGGTACCTTATATTGTTGCTTTTTCAGTTCGACCTGGTCTTCCTCCTGCACATTCTTTTCCAGTTCTTTTTTCGAGTTCTTTTTTGAGGTGGCCATTTCTGACCACTGCCGCAACCGCCTTTGGGAAAGGGAGTAATGGCCAACTGGGGAGGAGAGGTGCGACTCTCCTCAACCCTGCTGGCAGTCTCCCCCCTCTTCACACCTCTACGGGGTGGCTTAGCCCCGAAACCAGCCGGCTCAGGGTGCTCCAGCAGCAAGCACAGATTGAAACTGCGCACGATCGCAGATTTTGGTCTGTTGCCGAAGAAGCTCAAACTGGAAGCCCAATGATGAAATAGAAAATTGTAAATGTTTTGAATACCATACCATACCTTTCTATTAATCTAATTTCATTATATATGTATTCTATGGGGAATAACACATCCACCAAATTATTTCCTGCATGCTAGTTTTTCTGCTTATGCTGGAAACTTTGCACCACTAAAAATACAAGGACCACTGAATCCATTAATATGCAATTAGTTATCTCACTCAATCGTTTCAGATGGTTGTTTATGCAGTGATGAACAGGTGGTCCTTGACTTACAACCATTTGTTTAGTGACCATTCAGAGTTACAACGGCATTGAAAAAAGTGACTTGCAACTATCTTTCACACAGCTATTGAAACATCTGTGATCATGTCATCAAAACTAGGTAGCTTGACAACTGCCAACTATTTATGATGGTTGCAGTAACCTGGAGTCATGAGAACACCTTTTGTGATCTTCTGATAAGTAAAGCCAATAGGGAAGCCAGGTTCATTTAACAGTCATGTTACTAACTTAATAACTGTGGCATGAAAGGGCATAAAGTGGGGCAAAAACTAACGACTGTCTTGTTTAGCAGTGGAAACTTTGGGCTCAATGATGGTGTTAAGTTGAAATTAAATAAGTTAAATTCACCAGGAAGAATACAGTCTTTTGGAGGTGGTAAGGTGTATTTGTAGTGATAAATCTATTTTTTTTTCTGTATTCATCCCATATTGTTAGCATGCCACCTAATAATCCCGTATAGCTATATTTTGTTTTATTAGCATCAGATCAAACATACAAATCATGGTCAGCTTGTATCACTTTAAAATGGTTGTTTCATTGAAATTTGAGGGCGTGTTGCTATATAAATTTGTCTCTTGTAAGGTTTTAGGAGTTTTAATGGCAACTATACAAATACATGAATTTCTGAATGAACATTATTAATTTAAGGCTGTTACCATATTTCAGAGACCACTGCACCACAGAGATTTACTTTGTGAACCCAAAAAATCCAGAAGCTGCAAAGATGGAGGAAGGTGGACACACTGCCTGAAGCGAATTCTTGTATGATCACATGAAAAGCCTAATTCATAGGTAAGTTCACAGACCGTCTGTCCTTCTGAATAAATGGGGTTTAATTGGAACAGGATTATCCTTGCCACTTTTTATCATAAGCGAAACAAAATCAAATGATCAATTAAGCAAACCTAGGATTGTTTGTTCTAACTGCTAGGGACTATTTTAGGCAAAGGTAATTATTTCCACAGTCCTTTTAACAGTGCTTGTTTGAAGTAGAAACACTCAGAAATAAGCCTGAAATTTGGGCATTGCAAAATACAAGATTATTATAGAGCATGTATGTTGCACACAAAAGTTCCCACATTCAATTCATGTCATTTTTGATAGAAATATCAGGAATCAAATATAGAAGTTAATTAGAAATACATTTGTGCCTGTATATAGGTTAGCTTGCTTTTATTAAACATAAAATACAGATGATGGGACTTGGACTAATACACCACCTGACATTTGTCTACAGTTTCTTCTCATTCCAGATGTCTTCTCAATCCATATGTTTTCTCTATTCTGACAAAGTTCTGAAGACAGGTTAGAGCCTTGAGTTATCTGCAAAATATTATACATTTAAGTCTTTGGTTCAGCATTGAAGTATTGTCTCTCCCTGGCCTTATCTATCAAAGAGGCAATTCAATGTACCCTGGACATTTTTGCTTAGGGAACCAACTGCCATATCACGTGAAATCTCTTTTGTAATTGAGCACCCACAAACACACTGATCTTGCTTCATAATTTGATGTAAGAGCCTTGAAGAACCGTCATTTGTGTGTAATTTGCAGAGCTAAAGATACAAAAGTCTCTCCCAATTTGCGGGAGATTAAGATTAGCAAACAAAGCCATGGAGTATTTGCAGAGGACAACTGGCACTTATAATCTTTTTCCAGGGCTGCCCCTTGGTTTGAATTCCCTCTCCCTTGGTGGCTGGCACCCGTTGCTGCCTTTCATATCTGACCTTGGTTTCGCTTGTTCCATGAAGGTTAGATCAACCTCGGTTTCTCATTGTGGAGAATAATTCAATTTTTTGTATAGATGGTGGAACTGAAAAAAAAAGAGAGCAGAGAACAAAGGATCACCATTGGCACAAAGTCAGGCTTATTGTTGGAATCAACTTCCTTAGTGAAGATTGCTTTCTCTGTCATGAACACACACACACAATTTTTTGTTGTTCAGCCACTAAGTCATGTCTGACTCTTTGTAACCCCCATGGATCATAGCATGCCAGGTCCTTTCGTCCTCTGTTTCCCAGAGTTTTCCCCAAATTCATATTCATCTAACCATCTCATTCTCTGCTGTCCCTTTCTTCTTTTGCCTTCAATCTTTCCCAAAATCGGGTTCTTTTCCAATGAGTCCTCACTTCTCATGAGGTGGCCAAAGTATCTGAGCTTCAGCTTCAGTATCTGTCCTTCCAAAGAACAGTCAGAGTTGATTTCCTTCAGGATTGACTGATAATAGCAATAGCACTTAGGCTTATATATTGCTTTATAGCCCTCTCTCAGCGGTTTACAGAGTCAGCATATTGCCCCCAACAATCTGGGTCCTCATTTTACCGACCTCAGAAGGCTGAGTCAATCTTGAGCCGGTAGGACTTGTACTGCCAAATTGCTGGCAATCAGCAGTTAGCAGAAGTAGCCTGCATCACCACGGTTCAATGCTAAATTAAATAACCCTGATTTTTAGAGCTTTATAGGCTAATGGAAGCACCATCACTTGGGCTTCAGAAAGTACTTTCAGTATTGGAATTGTGTGGTCCTATCTGAATATCCCATTTACCAATGGAAAAGTTGCAGGCTGTACCAGTTGGAATTTCTCTGTCCTAAAAAGAACATTCCTGTAATCTATGTGACAACAAGCTAGCTGTGAGATTATTAGGGCCAGGTTAGGTGAATGATCCTTTAGCACAGGGACCTCCAAACTTGGCAACTTTTAAGACTTGTGCATGGCTGGCTGAGGAATTCTGGAAGTCCACAGGTCTTAAAGTTGCCAAGCTTGGAGACCTTTGCTTTAGCAGGAATGACACTTCATTCACATCAGGCTACCTTCCTTATTCTCAAACTGAAGAATATCTATCCAGAGTACCCGTATGTTTCACGAGTAAGTACCCAATTAAGAACGTCCAATTTACAGACAAATTAGGGGGAGGAAGTAGTATTATGTCACTGCCTTGAATTATTTACAAAGTAATAAACACAGTAATTATTTATTTAAAGCAATTATTTAGAAAGTAATAAACATAGGATAAATAAACTTGGTACTTACAAATGGACTGGCTATTACTAAAAACGATGAATAGCGTTCTCCTTCCTAAAGATGATAAACCATTGAAGCTTTGCGGTGTTTTCATGAACTGTTGAAGCTGTTCATTTTTAATATACAGCTTGTCAGTTCAAGGAAGGAGAACACTGTCCATCATTTTTAGTAACAGTCCATTCATAAATACTACTTAACGTACAAATTCAAAAAAGATTTAGGGATGGAACTTGTTCTTAAAACAGAGACGGTCTGTACTGAGATTCAGTTTCATTTTATTAGCCCTCATTTACTTCAGGCAATTGTCAGGCACCTGGATAGCTCTTCCTGTTTGAGGGGAAAGTATGTGGAGGAAGTTGATTACCATCTGCATGCGGATGATGTCACACTTCAAGTATCTTGATGACTACCCCTTGTGGGTTGTTGGAGAGGAGCAAATTAGAACTAATGATCTCACAGACCAACCACTGTGAGGAAGCAGTAACTTTCCACTACCATTATAACTTAAAAATTCCAGCTCTAGCTCCCCACTCATAGAGCCATTCCACTGATACTTCGTGATCAGTAATGTCAAAAGATCCACATGAATCTGTATGGTAGCTCTGGATCTTTACTCACAGCAACCAAACTGTTTGGTTGCTCCATTCAGTTGTGAAACCAAACTATAAAAGGCATCATTTGGGTCATTACATCAATGTATGTTTGTTCAGGAACCTATGGCTGTGGTGCACCCATAAACACAACGGTTTCTACTAAATTGTGGTACGTAAGAGAATAAGATGAGGTTGATTTTATATTCGAATTGTTTTAAATGTTACTGTAATTGCACAATGATGGCGATATCGGTGATAATGGAAGTCTCATTTTCATCAGAAAAATTTAAGGATTAGGAATAGTCTACCTGACTCTGTGGTTTCTTCCCCAAACCTCAAAACCTTTAACCTTAGACTGTCTATTATTGACCTCACCCCTTTCCTAAGAGGTCTGTAGGGGGCGTGCATAAGCGCACCAACGTGCCTACCTTCCCTGTCCTATTCTTTTTTTTAAATTTTTCTTACATGTACCCATTTCATGTATTCATAACTATGTATATACTTATACCTATTATCTTGTAAGCGATTGACAAATCAAATAAATAAAATAAATGAAAATAAATAAAAGGGGGTTCCCAGGAACTGAGCTGGAGGTGGTCGGTGATATTTCAGAATAGGTGGGGATGTTTTAAGAATTTAACTTAGAATAAGCAGAAGTGAAAAGAAGTGGGGAAAGTTTTGGCTAGGATCATAAAGGAGAACAAGAAAGGAGTGAGAAGTAACTATGTAAATCTCATTGTCAGATTGGTTGTCAACCTTCAAAATGACTTCAGCTGAAGCCATGCTTACTTCTGTTTCTTTTCTTTCCAAGGGGGAGGGGAGGGAGAGCACGAGGGGGAACTCAGGAATGTGGTGCCTCAGCCGGCTAGCCATAACACCTCCCAGCCGGCATGTGAACAAGGTCGTTTCCACGGACAGTTGTCCAAATTGAGTGGAAACGTACATCTGGACTGATTGGCCCATGTGACCTGAGAGACAAAGGAGGGTGGGGAGATCTTATTCTTTTAACTATCCCTGAGGGTGGGAATAATTTAGAGCTAGATTCACCTTTCTAAATGCCTATATGATGTACTCAATAAATGATCTCTTGAACCTGAATAAAGTGCCAGAGTCCTGACTTCCCTGAGTTCATTACTCGGAATGATGACATTGGTGAGTGTGATTTCCCTTAATGAGATTTACATAGCTACTGCCTTTTTTTGGGGGGGGGGGGATTCTCCTTTATATTATAAAAGGCTTAAGGGGAAATAGAGTTGGATAATTTATTTTTGTTAATGTTTTTAGTTCTTATAACTAAAAGAAATAACTGAAGTGTTTCTAACAGTTATCAATCTGCAGAAAATGTTTAATGAATATCTTTGTTCAACCTGGTAAATCTAGTTTTTTTCCTCAAGATAAATCTGCCCCCTCTCCGCCAACAAATGGAGAATTTGCTCATATTTTCTTTTTCCATCCCTGACTATTTCATGAGAGCTAGCCTTTCTTTCCCAGCCACAAACAGCCATTTTGTTTGTTTAGGGAGAGAGAAAAAAGAAAGTTTCAAATTTACCAGGACATTTTGTAAAGCATCTAAATTATATGTGCTTATGTCAATTTGAATGATTCTAGAAACCACCATTAGGACAAGAAGAATGAACACTTTGAGGCAGTTTGAATCTCCCTGATCAAAATGGAGACGTGTCCAAAAAAGAGGGTTGAAAAGCATGTTGTTCTGGGGAATGTTTGACTCTAAAGAAATATTTTTTTCACTTGGTGGCAATGAATACTTGTTAAGTTTCTGAACATAAGACCAAAAACTGTTCCAGATTTATCTCCTCTTCTGTTACTTTCCCTTCATATTCAGGCAAAAGTTACCCGCTACTATTTCTTCTTCTTCTTCTCCTCCTCCTCCTCCTCCTCCTCCTCCTCCCCCTGCTCTTCCCCCTCTCCCTCCCTCCCCCCCACAACTCACATCAGAATTCAGAAATGCATTGCTCCGCAGAATTTACTTTGATATTTCAATTAAAATTGGGCATGGACCCTGTCCTCAAGGTTATCAGCCAAAAGTCTAGACTCACAAAAGAAGGGAAGGGAGATCAGCTTGATATTGTCAAAACAAACTGATAAGTTCTTCACAGAACATTCTTATCCCCAATGACGCCAGGCTGAATTTTTAAAGACATTCCTCTTCAGAGGTAGTTGCTGAGGCAATTATTTGGTGCCTTTTAGTCCTTTCTCCAGAACTATATCAGTGGTACTTTTCCCATGGAACACAAAGTTTTACTTTTGGATCCCTTTGTGGCCAATAACCAGGTTGGTTTTATGTTTGCTGTAGTAATTTACTGGGAAGATAGAGGCCCAATTTTCATTCTTCATCCTGCAAGCTGCATTCAAACTGAACTGAGGAAATTATCCTTAAACTTCTGACCTGGTTGAACCTACATTTTGAATTAAATTTCAGTTCCTGGTTTGGTGGCACCTTTAGTATGTCCAGGCAAGAAAAAGGAACACACAAAATGCAAACACATAGACAGAGACATTAGACAGAGATATAGATTAGATAATGATAGATATAGATATAAACCAGTGTTTCTCAAATTTGTGAACTTTAAACTGTGTGGACTTCAACTCCCAAAATTCCCCAGCTGGCTTGGAATTCTGGGAGGTGAAGTCCATGCATCTTAAAAGTTGCCAAGGTTGAAAAACACTAATACAAAAGAATACATCTGGCAATTCTTTGAATTTGAGGAATGTTTCTGTTTTTCCAAACTAGTGTTTTAGAGCCAGGATTGTGCCTTCTGAATTAATCCTGACATTTCAATAAATTGTTTTAGGTGGATTGTCCATTCATGCAACCTTTTTGTCACTGTTCTTTTTCTAGATTTCTTCTTGAAGAACATCCTCCAGCATGTGTACATAACTAAATCATATTACATGTGCAGTTCATTAAGTCAAATAAAGTTTTTCCCCTCATTTAAAGTTCTGCTAATGAACAGTGCGCACCGTGACCCAAAATACATTTGATACGTTATCTGGCTGAAGACAGATAAGTTAATTGAAATACATGCTAAACATATAATCAAAGACTTCTTGTATTGTGCTATTACACACACATAACACACACACACACACACATACACACACACACACAGAGGTTTTATTTTTTATTTTTTTTAGATATACTTAGGACATGCTGTAGTTGCATGAAAGAGTGAGGGCAAAAAGCTGTTTTCATATACTAAGTACCTGACGTGCTAGCATACATTTCCTAGTAAATAAGGGATATATTGTCAATGTGCAAAGATTCCATACACTTAGAAGAGTGTAGTTAAGCTTTTTATAGTACTATACTTGAAAAGAGTTCTAGATCAGGGAAGAGGGAAATCTGCTGTGTACATTTAATCAAGCAGAGACTACTATTTAGGGGTGTGAATTTGACAGGAACATAAGTTCTAAATCACATTGGTGTGTTTGGATTGCATACTTTATCCCTTGATGGAGAAATCCAAAGCAGACCTAGAAGTAGCTGGAGACTCTGAGGGTGAATCCCGTCAAGATCTTTTGTCTGAGAAACCAGATGCCCGCCCTACCTGGGGGTCAAAGGCTCAGTATATCCTCGCCCAGGTTGGCTTTTCTGTTGGACTCGGCAACGTCTGGCGTTTCCCCTACCTGTGCCATCAAAATGGTGGAGGTGAGTTGACTTGGGCAGTTCTGCCAAATTTTGGACTTGGATTCTACTGCAAGATTCTCCTTATTTCTAAGAAATTATGACTTCTCAGAAATAACTGAAGTAGCAGCTTATAAAGCACTGTTCTAATTTTATCCATATGTAATATCTAAAACTTAGATATTCGGTCCCCTAAAAAGAATGATTTTCTGAATTAAAATACAAATTTGAGAAATAGCAAATAGACCACTTTAGCAGTTTGGCCAAAAGCAGGCAGACAACTGAAGCGGTGCATTTGTTACAGAATACATTTCTGTCATTTGGATACTCTTTTTTTGGTGTGAGTATTGGACACCCTGAATTTTCACAATTTTAGTTATCTAGTTACTCAGGACAAACTTACAAGATCACCACACACTCAGTTTCTAAACAGCATTGTGTGAACTTGATGCTTTTGCCAATGAAGAAAATTATCTCCCTTTCTAAAACATTTGGGAACAGTATTTTTAAACAATCTTATTTTAACTGTAACAACAAATCATACATGTGATCCATTTCATCAGATTTAAAATGGTTCAACATTTTAAGGCAGCGGTCCCCAACCTTTCCAGCTTGGTGGTCTGGCGACGGGGAGAGGCTGTTCTGTGTGAGTGGTAGGTGCATCATGTGTACACAGACCGCTACTCACACAAATGAAGCTTTGCATACAAGGGCCATTTGCACAACCTGGTTCTGAACAGGCTGTGGCCCGATAGTGGCCCAGGGTTGGGGACCCATGCTTTATACATGGGTATAAATGTCTGATTAAATAATCTTGCCAGGTGCTTCGGGGGAAAAAGGTAGCACAGAAAGAGAACAGAGGCATAAATGCAAGAGATATTCAGAATGTGATCCATAAAGGGGCAGAAGGCGTATTTAAAAAAGAAGATCCATTCTTTAGCGAGCAAGGGCAGTATTTGGGGTTTGCTTACCCTGCTTACAGCCAGATTGGTGTAGTGATTAAGGCACTAAACTACAAACCAGGAGATTCTGAATTCTAATCCAACCTTAGGCATAAAACCAGATGGGTGACTTGGGCCATTCGCTCACTGTCAGCCCTAGGAAGAAACCAATGGTAAATCACTTCTAAAATCTTGCCAAATATACTGCATGGACTCGTCCAAGCAGAAGTCAAAAACTGACCTAAAGGGATGTATAAACAAAAAAGCTGTACTAGTTTACTGGTGCATCATTTTTCCTCTTAGATTAACCTGATTCAGGAGACTGTAGTTTGTGGAATAATTGCCAGAATGACTGGAATCTGTGAAATGTTTCCTCTTGCTGGACAGGTTCTTTTCTGCTTTTATACCTGCTGCTCCTCCTTATCATTGGAATCCCTCTCTTCTTCCTGGAATTGGCCGCTGGGCAGATTATCCGGCAGGGCAGCATTGGCGTCTGGAAACACATCAGCCCTCGCCTAATAGGCATCGGCTTTGCAAGCTGTGTGGTGAGTGCCATATCACCATTCTTCTAAGCCCGACACTTATTTATATGTCTTGGAAAAAAGAAAAAGTCCTTCGGAATAAACCAACCGGTGTGAAAAATATTAATTGGTTTATCTTTCTAGTAATCAAAAGGATTTGTTTTTATTTTTTTAATCTATTTATTTATTTATTTGCTTATCTTGCCACCAGGCAACTCCTGGCAGCTTACAGCCTATATATCTTCCCTATTATTCCCTATGTTAGCTATTTCTTTGTTAGCTTCTGGGACGAAGCTTTGCACCATCCAAAGCAGAACAAGTAGATTCTGTAATAGCTTTATACTATATAGCATCAACCTTGTTAATCTCAAGACTTTTTTTCCCATTATGTATTCTAAATCAAGGGTCCCCAGGCTGTGGGCTGTAGCCCACTAATGGGCTGTGAGGGGTTTGCAACTGGGCCATGGAAATGGCCAGCACGGGTGCTCATCTTCACTTGCATGAGCAGTGAGTGAGCGAATGCGTGTGTGCTCCATCTGCGTGAACTGCGCATGCACACAAATATAGCTGCACGCACGCTTGTTGGCCGCTTGTGCATACCATTCTCTTCCCACCCACCCCCGCCAGTTTGCAAAGCTGGAAACATTGAGGAACCCTGTTCTAAATGGTCTGTGATTGTGTATGTGTATGTATGTGTACTCTGTGTGTGTGTATGCTTTTGAGAGTGGGCATCAGAATTTCATTTTTTTCATGTAGGCCAGTGTGTTCTTAGAAAAAAGGGACAATAAAGGTTATCTTATCTATTGGGTGGAAATGTTTACCCTCTACTACCTACAAGCATACTCCTATGGTCTAAAAAAGAGAGTACAAGTAATTTTTGACTTACAACCGGTTGCTTTGCAACAGTTCAAAATTATAGTGGCCACCTAACCTAGTTCTGTAGTTCCACTAGCAAGGAAAGCTCTTTGTGGTCAATTGAACACATTTTGGGTGCTCAGCAGTAAGCCTGCATTTGCAGCCATTTGCAATGTCCCATGATCAAAATTTGCAAAGGTTTTTTTGGCTGAAATCTGACATTTATTTCCAGTTTTTAGCAAAAGCAACCCATAGCAAACAGCAGGTTTGTTTAGCAACCACTGCATCTTCAAATGTTTTCAGATTGTGATTGCTTGTGATGTGACAGAAGGAAAAAACACATGACTGGAGAACTATCTTATTAAAAATATTTAATTTGAATTAATGAAATCATAGATAAAATCAAACCTAATTTAGTTTTGTTTTGGCCTGCTTCCTCAACCTGGAGAAGTTTTAGAATGACTAATCCATCAAAAAAAAAAAATGCATAACTCTACTTTGGAAAATAGGAATATTTCAGAAGAAGATTAGCATGTTCTAAACACATTCCTTTTCATACATTTTTGACATAATCTGTAGTTTGTCCCTCTTCATCAAAGCAGCTGTATCTATGTCCAGGGACAATGTGGGATGCTAATTCATTTTGCTTTCCTTTTAGGTGTGTTCTTTTGTTGCCCTATATTATAATGTCATTATGGCATGGAGTCTTTTCTACTTGGGTAATTCTTTCCAGTTTCCCCTTCCGTGGAGTGATTGCCCTGGAGCAGAAAATGAAACAGCTACAGGTAAGCGGGAACACAGGAAACAACAGCCATTTGTGGCCTTTCCCGTGTTTGTGGCATCTCTGTATCACAGAATTATCTGCTTTTAACAAGGATTCCTCCACACTGTTCCCAAAGCTTGAAATATGGGGTGGAATAATGGTTTAACCAGCTCTTTCCCTCCTAATTAACTTTCAGCTTCTCCTATCTATTGGTCACATGTGGCCCTGGACAGCTAGTAATGTGTTCCCACAACATTGTAAACTTTTACCATTATTATGTGATTTATATACAGTAACTTTACATACTGTACTTTACATGCATCCCAAGAAAATTTCTCTTTATTCAATGTGTGGAGCCAAAAATGTTGGACATGCTTTAACTCAAAGGATAAGCATGTCATTTTTGATTTCTAGATAGGCCTGAGCAAAACACTTTTGAATCACTGAGAGTTGCTGTTAGAGTGGACGAAAAGGAAGAGACTCACTTGATGGAACTTTCAAGGAGAGATTAGACGGCCATTTGTCAGAAACGGTGTAGGGTTTCCTGCTTGGGCAGCGGGTTGGGCTAGATAACCTACAAGGTCCCTTCCAACTCTGGTTATCTGTTATCTGGTCTGCTATAAGATAAGCATATAGAGCCAATTGTTAATTGAATCTGGCTTCCCCATTGATCTTGCTTATCGGAAGGTCGTGAAAGTTGACACAGCAATGGTTATAAATATGAACCAGTTGCTGAACATCTCTGAATTTTGATCGCATGGTCATCAGGGTGCTGCAAAAGTTGTAATTGTAAAAAACGATCTTAAGTCATATTTTTCAGTGCCATTGTAACTGAATATAGAAATGGAAGATTGTAAATAAACCAGTAGGCTAAGCTGGAACATATCAATCTTTTTAGTTCTTAACAGATTACCAGGAATTAAATTTGATCTCTTAAAAAGTTTCTCCCCGCAATTCCATGAAAAGTCACCTCCATACAGCAATAGTTAAATAAGAATACTTTCTATACTATATGTCCTTTACAAATTGTCTAAATAAATTAATGATTCCCCACTAGGACTGTCCTACTTGCAAAAATCTAGGCAACCATTACAATAATATTTCTCAACCATGGCAACATTAAAAATTAAAGTATTTCAGCTCCCAAAATATTCCCACCAATATGCATGCTAGGGAATTCTGGGAAATGAAGTCCGCACTTGCCAATATTGAAAAACTCGCATGACAGTACTAAAGAAAATGAAAATGGTACAAAAGCAATTGCTGCCATCTAGCGGTCGTGCAGATTTTGTCATTTAGATATATACAGTAAACGTTGCTATATTCAGTACTCTTTTCCAGTACTCTAAGCTCTTTTGACAGTGTTTAGTCATAAGCAAGTCCTATTTAAAAAGATCCCCTGCAATGTTATTTATGGCTTTTACTTTTATTGTTGTTATTGTTTATCATTGTTAAGCCTTATCATCTTAAGGCAGCCGAACTATTATTCTGTAATAACATTATAGACTCCTGGCTTCCAATGTACAATCACCGTATGCTAAATAAATAAAATAGTCTGTTTTGGGTGCTTTGGAAATGGGAGGAATTTTCTTTAATTGGGTGTTACCTAGCTAGCCGCTGCTGGAAAGGTAACTGGACTGTTGAACTTTATAGTATTCCTTACATTTTCTCTGTCTTTCTTTATGGCAAAATATTTCTTTTGAAATATGTAAAAGTAGAAACTTTTACGCTTACAGGCACTTGTAGCTCAGAACAGAAGCTGAGGCATTTTAATGATAAATTGCTCTTTATTCTGAAAAGAAGGGATATTAAGAGCAGACATTGGAAGAGAGAATTTTTTAATTATAGTTGATTATCTTTGTGAAAAGACTTGACATATTTTATCTGTTCACCCTGGAAAGCCAACACAGCACTTGAATTGTTGAGGAAAAAATTAGCAAGAACTTGAGACACATTGGAAGCTACCTTAGGCCAAATAGGCAATTGGTGTCATCCGGTTATCCAGTGGCATCCAGTGTCTTACACCCGAATAGTATTAGTCTTTGCAGATTTTCCCAACCCTACTTAAGTGTCAAGAAATAGATTATAATTTGAAATAGAGACTTTCTGCATGCAAAAAGGCACTCTATGTCTGCATTCTGGGAAAATACATTTGAATGCATCAAATTACAATAAATTTCAAGTGCAATAGTTAGTGCAGGAACTGAAGACTGAAGGATACAAGCCTCAAAATGGAAATAACCTCATTGCCTTTTCTGAAAATACTTCTGCATTTATATATTTGGTTGGCTAGAGTTAGTGAAAGAAAAAAAAATGCCCTCTGCTGATATTTGCTGTATAGTCAGTTTTGTAACCCTCACAGTTCTAAAATAACATGGAACTGACATGAAATGAAAAAAAGAAACATCCATTTGGGTGAGAAGCATTCTGGAAACCAATATATTTAGATGTACAGTACTGGACAAGCTTGTTTGTCCACAACATTCCAAAATAAACATCCTGTTTTCTTTATTACAACAGAATTGCAAAAGGAAAAGCTGGTCATTTGTCCCTAACCCTAACAGACACTGTCTTTCTTTTCTCCCTCCTCCCTCCCTCTCTCTTTTCAGTCACAGAATCTGAATGCATGGCCAGTTCTCCCACTATCTATTTTTGGAACCGAAAGGCCTTGCACATTACCAACTCCATAGAGGAGAGCGGGGGTCTTGACCCAGCCCTTACTGGCTGCCTCTTTGCTGCTTGGATGCTGGTTTGTCTCGCCATGATCAAAGGCATTAAGTCGTCAGGCAAGGTGGGTTGTGCCCAATCTTCTGTCTTTACACAACAGCGTTCTCTCAGAGACTTCATACAGGTAGTCCTCGATTTACGACTGAGCCCGGAATTATGGCCATAAGCCGTGCCCGTCATTAAGCAGGGATACCACTGTACGATCTGATTTGCGGCAGTTAAGGGTTCATTGAGTCAATGCATGGTTGTTAAGTGAATCCATTGCTCGCAATGGGTGGGTTGTTTCTTTTTGTTTTGTTGCAAATTGGAAGTAAATGCTGGTTTCTAGTAAAAACAGTTGTAAATCATGGTGATATGACTTCAGGACACTGAAAACTGCTGCAAATGTGGAGTGCTTGCTGGGCATCCATTATATCAGAGGGCTCCAAACTTGGCTACTTTAAGCCTTTTGGACTTCAACTCCCAGAATTCCTCATCCAGCCTAGCTGGCTGAAGAATTCTGGGAGTTAAAGTCAACAAGTCTTAAAGTGGCCAAGGTTCGGGACCCCTGCATTATATGATCACTTGATTTGGGGGGTTGAGGGAGGGAGATGGGGCACCAGAACGTCAGATCCAGGCTATGTAGCCCTAGGGAGGTCTATTGTAACTTCAAACAGTCTCTAAATCAGGGGTCTTCAAACTTGACAGCTTTAAGACTTATGGACTTCAACTCCCAGAATTCCTCCTCCAGTCATTTTAGCTCAGGAATTCTGGGAGTTGGAAGTCCACAAGTCTTAAAGCTGTCAAGTTTGAAGAACCCTGTTCTAAATGATGGGTCATAAGTTGAGGACTACCTGTAATTGAAATCCCAACCATTACTTTGCGTATAGTTGTCTTCTCTTCCTCAACCAAGTAGCCTCTAGATATGGTGGACCATACTTTCATCTTCACTAGCTGATCTTACGGCTGAGGAAATTTGCATTTACTTGGATTTCGGGGAGGAAGGGGAAGAAGAGACCTAAGAATGGAAACCAAGTAATTTGGATTATAGACTAAATGAGGGGGACTGGGGGGTTTAAGTGTGATTTTTAATGTACACTGCGCAGAGCCACTGTATATGAGATGGGCAGCTATACCGATAGTCCTTGACTTAACAACAGTTTGTTTAGTAACCATTCAAAGTTACAAGGGCACCAATAACAGTGACTTATGACCAGTTTTCACACTTACGACCATTGCAGCCCCTTTTACAACCTTCTGGCAAGTCAATGGGGAAGCCAGATTCACTTAACAAAAGTTTGACCAATTTAACAACTGTAGTAATTCACTTAACGACTGTGGCAAGAAAGGTCGTAAAATTTGGCAAGCTCACTTAACCACTGTTTCACTTAGCAACAAAAATTTTGGGCTCAATTGTGGTCATAAGTCATGGACTAGCCGTATAAGTTTAAGAAATAAATCAGTAAATACATTTGTGAGAAAGAAGCTGCAGAAACATGAAAGCAAAATTTTACCCTTATGTACCGATAACGCCTGACAGCGTGATTCTCACCATGCCTTGATTTTTGAGTTCATTTCCACCATATCTTCTCTCCATCCCAGGTTCTGTATTTCAGCTCTCTGTTTCCTTACGTGGTTCTCTTGTGTTTTCTTGTACGTGCTTTGCTGTTAGAAGGGGCAGCTGATGGAATCAAGATCATGTTTACCCCTAAGGTAAGAGATGCTGGCCTTGGGCACCATCCTGGTTTTGAAGTATAGGTCGTCCTCAGGTTATCATAACTGGGACCAGAATTTCTGTTGCTTAGCAAATTAAGTGAGTCACCTCCGATTTTACAACCTTTGTTGCCCCAGCTTTTAAGCAAATCATTGTCATTGTTAAGGAATCATGCAGTCCTTAAGTCGATTGGCTTCCCCAATGATATAGCTTGTCAGAAGTCAGCTGTGAAAGTTACAAATGGCGATCACATGACTTCTGGAATGGCTATAAATACAAACTGGTTGCAAAGCCCTCTAATTTTAACGATGTGATCATGGGAATGCTTTAGCCAAGACTTTGTAAGTCACTTTTTTCAGTGCCTTTTGCTGTACAGAAAAACAGCTGATGTCATCCAAAAGGAAGTCCAGAGAAAATTAAAATCAATTATATAAGAAAATATTCCTCAAGGGGTCCAACCTAACCTAAGACCTGAGTCAGGTTTTAAAGTCTCATTTAAACAATCCTGCAGGGAGTGGTCAAATCTAGGTTGGGCTGGTATCCTATAGCTCAGTTCTCATGTCAGAGATGGGTCCCATCAGATAACATTGTTTAATGGATGGGACTTGGAGTATGCTGGCTCTGTCAGGCTGTATGGAATGGACAGAAATAGGCAATCCCTCAAAATCCAGTTCTTATCCCATATAGCAGTATTTCTCAATCTTGGCATTCTGAAGGTGTGTAGACTTCAAGTCCCAGAATTCCCCAGGCAACGTAGCTGGCTGGGGAATTCTGCAAGTTGAAATCCCCACATCTTCAAAATGCCAACGTTGAGAAAAATTGCTATATGCGATTTTATAGATGATAACCAGCACCTCGAGTTGCATTCAGAGGCCTGCTGGCCTGTAGTGCAGCTCGCGAAGCAGAGGTGTTACATGGGCCTGTCCCAAACGGTCCATGCTGCCACATTCTGGACTATCTGTAGCCTCCAGATAGTCTTCCTGTGTGGAATGGACAGCATAGTCCAATCATGAGGGAACCAAAGCGTTTTTGAGGGGGGTTTTTGCGCATGTCAGCAAATGAGAAAAGATCTAGCAGGGCCAGAGATGCAGAAATATAAAATGGTGCCTTTTGTCCCTTCCTCACAATGTCTTACCTTTCCCCACTCCCCAAGCTATCCATTTGGGGAGATATGCAGGTCTGGCGTCAGGCAGCCACCCAGGTGTTCTTTGCTCTGGGCCTGGGTTTCGGCACCATAATTGCTTACTCCAGCTACAATCCTCAGCATAACAACTGCCACATCGATGGGTTGCTTGTGTCTGGCATCAATTTCCTTACCTCGGTGCTGGCCACGCTGGTGGTGTTTGCCGTGCTGGGCTTCCGAGCCAATGTGTTGGCGCACAATTGTGTTGCAAGGTTAGTGTTCATCTAACTGTTAGTAAAAGCATTAGTAAAAGGGTAGTAAAATGTGATCAAGAGCCCTGGTGATGCAGTGGTCAGAATACAGTATTGCAGGTTAACTTAGCTCACTGCCAGGAGTTGGATCCTGATTGGCTCAAGGTTGACTCAGCCTTCCATCCTTCCGAAGTCGGTAAAATGAGGACCCAGATTGTTGGGGGCAATATGATGACTCTCTAAACCACTTAGAGAGGGCTATGAAAGCACTGTAAAGTGGTATATAAGTCTAAGTGCTATGATCAGATACTAAGTCCTGCAAGAAAGGATTGAGTGGGGATATGATACCCCTTTTTAAGTACTGAAGGAGAGATGTAATAGCGAAAGGTAAGTCCTAGGTTGGCTGTGCTGTTTGGCTCCACATGTACCAAGTATAGGTGGGACAAGTCTCATTTATTCCCAGAAAAGTCTGTTATAGCATCTTTCAGCCATCCTTCCTTCTCAAGCATATTGGATTTATAGTATCCATTGCTGCTACCTTTCTTGCAGTTAAAATGGCTTGACTGACTTTGTCCCCTCCATATTACTTATGAGAGTGGCAGGGCATCTCACAGCTTGAGATGCCTGGATATTATTAGGTATTATTCCCAGTTATACCTGGGAATAACTGGGTATTATTATGGCTTATTGCACAGTCAACCAGATGTTTAGACCACATTTGGCATTTTTATGCATCTATCAAATCCTTCTCAAGGATTTGGGATAGGCCAACGTTGTTCTATGATTTTAAAGGTATAAGCTGGTTTTTGCAATTGAAGTTCCACTGATACAAGTGAAGAGTGCCAAGCTCCATTCACGCAAGTGGAGCTTCATGCACTCAGGCAAACCCCTCCATTCACGCAAGTGGAGCTTCACGCATGAACGCAAGTGCCCTGTGCTCACACAAGTGGAGCTTCACACACACATACTTGCCCATTTCTCCTGCAATCCAGTTTTGAACAGGCTGTGGCGTGGTAATGGTAGCAGCCCAGGAATTGGGTCCCTTGCCTTATTGGACATTCCTTTTTAGAGTCAATGACCAGTATATATTAATTGTTTATTGTATGTAAGCATATGATCATAAGAATAGCAATAGCACTTAGACTTATATACCATTCCAAAGTGCTTTACAGCACTTTCTGTACACTTTACAAATATCAGCATATTGCCTCCAACTATCTAGCCCCTCATTTTACTGACTTCAGAAGGGTGGAAGGCTGAGTGAACCTTGAGCCAGTTAGTATCAAACTCCTGGCTGTGGGCAGAGTTATCCTGCAATACTGCATCCTAATCACTGTGCCACCAATTAGCTTGCAACAGTTTAAACTCTACCTAGAACCTTCCAGATGTGTTGGGCAACAAATTCCAGCGCTGTCACCCAACTTATTCTTGAAATTCCAATGTTGCCTCCAAGCCTTGGTTACCCAACCTTTGTCTAATGTCTTCCAGGTGACTAAGTTTTAGTTTTTATGTTCTGTTTGGGGTGTTTTCTAACCTTTCTACTATATGTTTATTTATTTGGCAGAAATGCAGGTCTTTTTACAGAGCTAGTGAAGAATGGTTCCCTCTCGGCTGTGCTCCCTGTAAACCTGTCTGAATTTTCACCTGCTCAATACAGCAATTGGTATCAGGATCAATGGAATGATACAAAGCAATTGCAGAAGTGGAAACTTGGTGACTGTCGTGTAGAAGATGAAATGAATAAGGTAAATAGGTAGACAAGGGATGGATTCACAAATCTGGATAACTATAGATCAGGAGTCTCCAACCGTAGCAACTTTAAGACTTGTGGACTTCAACTCCCAGAATTCTTCAGCCAGCAAAGCCCAAAAGTCTTAAAGTTGTTAAGGTTGGAGACTATAGATCATTCAAGAGCATGCTGCTAAGCCAAGGGTCTTCAAACTTGGAAAGTTTAAGACTTGTGGACTTCAACTCCCAGAATTCCTGAGCTAACAGGACTGGAGGAGGAATTCTGGGAGTTGAAGTCCACGAGTCTTACAGTTGTCAAGTTTGAAGACCCCTGTGCTAACATGATAAATCTATAAATCCTAGTGGTTGACTTCACCAAAACCAAAATAGCAAAATTATGGATTGGAATGATGTGTCATGGGTGGTCTGAAATCCTAAGAAGCAAAAAGCTGATTAAGGGTAAAAAGAAGTCAAGCTATTGAGCAGATATGGCCCTGCATGTATTATGACTTTCCAGTCAAAACATAATCTTCCAGTTTAGCACAGTGTTTCTCAGCTTTAGCAATTTTAAGATCTGCGGACTTCAACTCTCAGAATTGTCCCAGACACCCTATTTGGTGTCTTCTGGGTTTGTAACCAGCGGAATGCGACTGGGGAAGTCTTTTTTATGTTTTATTTGTATTTTCCCTTTAACAACCAGCATATTTTAGACAGTGTAATGATTGGGTCAATATATTTTTTACACAATGCTAACAATAATAATACAATTACATATACATATACATAAGGGTCTTTTTTCTTGCTGACTGGGGAAGTCTTAAAGTTGAAATCCTCATACCTGGAAGAGATCCAGATTGGGGAAGACAAAGTTTTCCATCTGCTATAGTTCCTATTGTCCATATTTCTCTCTCTTTCTCCCTCAGGGTGTGGAAGGGACAGGCCTGGCCTTCATCGCCTTCACAGAAGCTATGACCCTGTTTCCAACAGCCCCCTTCTGGTCTATGCTGTTCTTCTTTATGTTGCTCAATTTAGGGTTGAGCACCATGTTAGGGAACATGCAAGGAATCATCACTCCTTTGTTGGACAACTTCCAAGGCCTCCAGCGTCGGCGGACGCTCTTCACAGGTACCTCAAAGGGGCAAGTCTTTCTTCTTCTGGGGCAAGACCAAAATTTATGGGTGTGTTACATACCTCAAGGGCTGGGATTTTCGGTTGCGGTACTTTGTACTCTATAAGATATAGATAGCAAAACAGGTGGTAAGATTTAAAATATTCTGCAAGATGAGGTGATAGGATTTCAGAATCCAGAAGAATGAGTTGCATTTAAAATGGGATGCTAATGTTTTGATTGTTGATGGTGCCATTTCAGATGGCTGGGTCAGAATTTGGATGCTGCTACTTCCCTAATTCAAACTGCCAGAGGACAATGAATGCATTTTAAAATGAGATCATTCTTAAATCCTTCTGGTCCTGGGCAGGACATTGAGGAAGGAACAAACAAAGGATGATATGAAAATTCTATATTTCTCATATCGCAATGAAGCAAAAAATAAAGCATTCCTTTATATATAGCAAATGCTTCAAGTACAATTCATTTTAATTCCGTGCAATCGGGATTTTCCCTTTAAAATATTTCAAGAGAAAGAACATCATTTTGGGCTTTTTCTACTGTTAACACGCAGGTAATCAGCTTGTTTGATTTATTTATTGATTTGATTTGATTTGATTTGATTTGTCAATCGCTTACAAGATAATAGATAGAAGTATAAACATGAGTAAGAATACAGGAAATAGGTGCGAATAAATGGGGACAATAGGACAGGGGCGGTAGGCACAATGGTGCACTTATGCACGCCCCTTTGTTATGTGAATTTATGATCACAATTGGCACCAGAATTGCTGTTGCTAAGCAAAACAGTCATTGTGAGTCATGCCCAATTTTATGATTTGTTTTGTTAAGCGAATCATGCAGCTCTTAAGAAAATCCGGCTTTTCCTATTGATTTTGCCTGTAAGAAGGTTTCAAATGGTGATCATGGGACCTTGGACAGTGCAACCACTATAAAAACATGCCGGTTGCCAAGTGCCCAAATTTGATCATACGACTGTGAGGATGCCGCGATGGGCATAAGTGCAAGGACCTGTCATAAGACCACTCTTTTTAAAAACTGGTAACTTCAAATGGTTGCTAAATAAATGCTTGTAAATTGAAGATTATTAGTACATAATTGTGTACATAATCCCAGTCTGGCCTCCAGTTCTATATTTTTCTCTGGGCTGGTACCATGTTTTTTGAATCTTGGACAAGAGATCTGAAAGTATCTTCTCCATCCCAGCTTATATACCACCAGCAGGTGTCCCATTCCTGGGCCTAAGAAACCCCCAAGCAGTTGGGTGTTGTCCCCAGATGTCAACCTCATCTCACAACTCTTTTGGACTGTTGTTCCTCCCCCGTTATGCTGTAACTTCTGTGGGAAGACTGCACAAAGTAGTTGGGCTCGGCCACCTCACATTTTGTTCCCATCTCTGTTTGAAACAGGGACACCCAGATGGAGATACCTACTGGCTGTGGATATCTGATAGGCCGTTAAAATAAGGGTTACATTCCTACGTTACCCTTAGCTGTGATCCAGATATCATCTCCTATTTTTAAAAATGCTGCCACGTGTCTCTTGTGCTGCTTATTGGCATCCAGAGGCTTCTGTTAGACCTCTGAATATACCGGTGATGCTAAATAAAAATAGCAATGGCACCTCAATTTTGTCTATACTGGTCCAGACATTCTGACAGATACCCATTCATGCCAATGGTTTTTGTGTGTGTGTGTTTTTTCTCCCTTACAGTCCTATGCTGTATTATTGGATTCTTGCTGGGCTTGATTTTTGTTCAGGGCTCAGGCAACTATTTTGTGACTATGTTTGATGACTATTCAGCCACTCTGCCCCTGCTTATTGTTGTGGCCGGCGAAGCTTTTGCCATAGCCTGGATCTATGGAGCTGACAGGTAATTTTCTTACCTTCCTTCCCACCTCTGCATGTTTCCAGTTTGTTTGTGTAGTTGGAGAAAGAAAGGTGATGTTTAATCGGCAATCTTAAATTTTGTGTAACATTTGCGCAAACAATCTTGTTCAGCTGTCTGCTACTTTTGCCTGTTTGTTTCTCTTTCTGCAGGTTCTTGGATGACATAGAAAACATGCTGGGCTGGCGGCCATGGAAAATCTACAGCTACATGTGGCGCTTTGTGAGCCTGGCAGCGATGTTGTGCCTGTTGCTAGCGAGTTTGGTACACCTGGTCATGAAGCGCCCCACCTACACCGCCTGGAACAGAGAAAAGGTAAGAAATTTATCTACTCTTTGGTTTTCGTGCATTGCAGTTATCCTGCTTGCCTTCTGTTTGAAAAGAAACAAAAATAAAATGAAATCTAGTGACTGTTTAAAGCAGCCGCCTCTAACTTTTCCAGCTTTAGAGACTGGAGGTGGGGAGGGGATGGTTCCGTGTGAGTGGGAAAATGCATGTGTATGTGTGCATGCAGCTCCATTTGTGTGAGCAGCAGGCACACGCACTTGCCACTTGTACAAATGGAGCTGCAGGCACACACTCACCCGTCACTTCCATGGCTCTGTTCCAAACAAGCCGCACAGTCTGGTATTGGATCACGGCACCAGGATTCGGAACCTCTGATTTGAAGGGTGGGTTCACACAATATATTTAGCTTTAGCCTTGGGTTAGAATGAACCCCCCCACCCCCCAAAGTGTTCAGATTGTTAAGCCCAAACAAATGATCATATTAGGGCTTATTTATGGAGCATCGTGTGGAGAAGAGTTTTTTCCACTGAGTTCTCTTCCTGATGCAACCTGTGAATATACAGAAGAGGCCTGAGGTAAGAGTGAGGTAATGCATCTAAAATTTTCTCTCTCCCTTTCCTTTCCAGTCAGAGGAGGAGCAGCTGGAATACCCACCATGGGCCTTGGGCCTTCTCATTAGCCTGATCGTTGTGGCCGCTCTCCCCATTCCAGTCATGTTTCTCAGGCACCTCTTGCTAGAACGGTTTTCCCAATACAGCCACAACTCTGGCCAGATACCTGTACCCACCAAAGAAGAAGATGGGGTGCAAGAAAAAGAAAGTCCAGCTGATCTTGATCTCAATCTCCCAGGCAATGGTTATTTGCTTGTGCCCGCAGAAGAGGGGCAGGAATAAAACAGGTGATGTTCAGGTAGTCCTCAACAACCACAGTGGAGTCCAGAATTTTGGTCATAAGTCATTGCGGTCATAAGTTGAGGCACCGCATGACCAAACTTGATTTTATCACCATTTTACAAAAGTCATAAAGTGAGTCAATCACATTATTAAGTGAATCAGGGTCATGAAGCAAATGCAGCATATCCAAAAGACGTTTTTTGCCATTTTTTGCTGGAAAGTGACAAAAAACGTGGCAGGTTGTGGTCACATGATCGAAAACTGCTGCAACCGGTTTTACAAGCGAGCCAGTTGCCAAGCACCCAAAATGCAATCATGTGACCCTAGCAGAGTACGGCAGTCATAACTTTGAGGACGGATCACAAATAGCTTTTCTGAGGTAAGTCCATCATAATTTTGAGCGGTTATTAAGTAGCTATTAGTGCATTGTAACTTTGAATGGTTGTTAAGGGAAAGTCATTAAGCAAGAGCTACCTGTATAAAATGTGCAATTCTCCACCCGATAAGTATTTAATAGTAAGCGCTTATTCGTTAAAGCCTGATTACCCATTCCTAAAAGTTGAATATATATGATCTATATGATCACAGTGTACAATATATTTTTTAAGGTTAAGATGGAAGTGGGGGGGGGGAATAATTTAAAATGGAAATTAGACTGCTTTAATGTTCTCATTTAAGCAGTGTATTTCGCTAGTGCTTCTTTTTAAACTAAGTAGGGAAAGCAGGAGGAAAGGGTTTCCAGAATTCTTTTTTTAGCCCTTAATTGTAGTCCTACTGTGGGCCATCCTGACTAAGACAAAATGGGGCTTAGATCATCAGGCAACACTCCAAGCTGCTGTCCAACTGCCTCTCACATAGAGATAGATAGAAGGGATTTTTTCTGACAGGTTTTTTTTTAAAAAAAATCCTGGCCTGATCTGGATCATTTCAAGTTTACTTTTCTTTTATGGATGACTTCTCCCATGCCAAATTTGGTCCTATTCCGCTGATGAACTGGCAGATAAAGTCCCGAGCCCCTTTACATAATTTTTCAGGCATTCCGTTGGGTTGGATAGAATCAAAAAGTTAATGGTAACATGGTAGGTGTGTTTAAAAAATGAACAGCACTAAATAGTTGTAACTTTAAACATTTTTTAAAAATACAAAAGAAGACAATTGTTAAGGATATCCATAGAAGTGAAGTCCTTTGTATGATCAGAGGAAGGACAGAAAAGACATTTGGAAAACTGCAGCTTCCAGACAGATAGTTTGTGATATGAGCCCTTTTTCAATAAATGTGAATGAACAACACACAACAATTCCATATCATCTCAGAAGACGCATGACTTGTGCTGGAGGACAGTAAAAAATGAAAATGGAATGATAAAGGACCTGTGAATAAAATATATTTAAGTGGACTCTCCTCACCATGTTGAACTACCTTACAGTTTGAACAACTGTCAAATAACCTTATTCTGTTCCCCATGAAGGCATCTTCAAAAAGTATTGGTTGGACGAACTCTGACTGGAGAACTACAGTTACTGGATTTCAAGGCACTATGCTCTGCATTGATCAGTGGTAAAAGGAAATGAGGCCATCAAAAAACACAATGGCTAAACACCATCAAAGTCCACACTAGTCAGAACATAGAACTGAAAGTAACCCTACAAGATAGGAAAATGCAGAGACAGTTGGGAATTCCTAAGAATTGGAGATGATTGAACAGGTAGCGTCATCATGTTCTGCAAAGAATGAATGAGATCCAGGAAACAAAGGTGTGATATCCAGGTGCATTTGATGCTAAAACATCTATGTCTCACACTGGTATGTGTTCCTCCCTGTTCCCCAGAATTCATTTTAGATTGTAAGCTCTTCAGGAGCAAGGGCCCATTTGATATCTGATGACACCACATCCTTTCATGTTCTAAAGCACTGTTTCTCAACCTTTGCAGTATTAAAATATGTGGACTTCATTTCCCAGAATTCTCCAGACAGCCATGCTGACTGGGGACTTCTGGGAATTGAAGTCCATATCTCTTAAAAGTTGCTGAAGTTGAGAAACACTGTTTTAAACTAGACCAGGGATGTCACAGCAACTGATACATCATCTGATGTATCGGGACTTTCTTCCACTTCGTTAAATTGGACAGGGGCAGGGCCAGAAAACCAGTTTGACATTCCTATTATACTGGTGACTTGGAAGTATCTCTGGTTCTGGGTTGGAATGTCGTCGGAAGGTTATCACAAATATTTTTTTAAAAGAATGGAAGAGCAAAGTTGTCAAAACACATTGCCAGTTATGCTCCTTGTTAAACATAAGGTTGCTCTAAGCAGTTATAGTGGTGCAGTTTGAGAACTCTGTTACTACTAGGGATATTCCTTGCATAACCCTCATTGAAGAAGAGCATAATGCTGGGAATGATTGAGGGAAAAACAAGAAGGGGAAGGCAGAGAATGAGGTGCTGGAGTCACTGAAGCAGTCGGGGTGAGTTTAAATGGACTCCGTGGGATGGTAGAGGACAGAAAGACCTGGAGGAATGTTGTTCATAGGGTGGCGATGGGTTGGACACGACTTCACGACTAACAACAACAAACCCTAGGATCAATTGGGAGGGTGGGTCACAATATCCACAAGAATGCAAACCATAGCCTGCCTTCAGTAAGATTCTACTTCAGTGAAAAATAAAGGGTGGACTTTTCCAGTACTTTGTCAGAGATTATAGTTCAAAGAGCTAAAAGCTTTGCAGAAGCAGTCAATGGACTGCTTGTTTTATGATATTCTCTATGGGGAATTACTGGACTTTTTCAATAGTTCAATAATGAACTGTATGTTGGAGTTTAAATTTTGTTTTGAGGACTTCCCTAATGCAGGGGAGAACAAAGCAGATAATTAAAGCTCCACTGTTCTGATAATGGGTGTCAGTTTCTTATGAGGGAACAGAACCTGATGTCTACAAATGAACCTTAAAGAAGAAAACATCTTTAATTATTTCCCCCTTTCTCTTCAATAAAAGCTGTTTAGCACAAGTGCATTGTATTAAATTCTGTGGTGGGAAAACGTCTTGATTTCGATTTCTTGGTTGATTTAAACTTCTTTATCATACATTAAAGAACTGCAGTGGAAATAAAGATAAGTTGTCTAGTTCAAATTAGGGAAGTTTTCCTTACTCAAATTAGAGCACTTAAAAACATAGCTGTCACAATTTATTTCATTTTGATTGGGCAGCCTAAGGAAATCTCAATCACTCTTTGTGCTATACCTAGGACTGTACAAAAAATAAAAAGTTCCAAAATGTGAAACAGGTTGTTTCGGGGATTTTGGAATTTACCAATTCCCCATTCAGAATCAGATTTCATGAAATGGTGTACCTCAAATAATTGAAAATATTGTGTCTGTTGCCTTGAAACTCAAATTTGAAGTGGAGCTAATAAGAATTTGATCCCTGAATTTGACAGAGACACTTTTACCTTTGCAAAGGGGCTTCTTTCCCCACCTGAAAGTGTGAATCAAAAAAAAAAAATACAAATTGCTAAATAATTCAGGCAAAGCAAAATGCATTTCTTAAAAGATAGTTAAATCTTTATTGGGTACAGAAACAAATGACAAGCATATTGTTATATGTGACACTTTAGAACAAGAGTTCTCAAAAACCGGGCCACATTCACACAAATCAAATTGTTCGTGTGTGCAACTGCCCTCACACAAAACCATCCCTTCTTTTCCCCCCTTGTGCCCCCACTTGCTGAGCCACTGCTTTAAAAAGCAAATGATCAAACAATAAAAGACTTGAATACTTGCAAGTTTTAAGAAAGATACAAACCCAACTAGATTTATGGGTTACATTACTCTTTCTCAGCTGGATTTCTATCTTTCTTAAAACTATTGTATGTGAGACTTGAATAAAAAAATTCTAGACAACTGGACTTCTGGTTTGAAGGGCTTTAGCGACTGACAGGAATCTGCGATCATGCGTGGTTTCTGCCTGGGCTCGCCGCTGGAGTGGCTGGTTTCAGGGCTAAGCCACCTCGTAGAGGTGAAGGGGGAGACTGCCAGCAGGGTCGAGAAGAGCCGCAACTCTTCTCCTCAGTTGGTCAAACTCCCCTTCCCAAAGACGGTAGGAGCGGTGGTCAGAAATGGCCACCTCAAAGAAGTACTCAACCGGAAAAGAACGTGCAGGAGGAAGATAAGTGAAAGTTTTGGCTGACCGGGCTAAGTTGAAAAAGCAATAACTAAGGTACCCTGGAATTTAAATTTTACAAGAAATAACATCGCTCCCAAAGAAGAGTTGGAAGCAGTGAAAGAAAGTGAAAAGGAAAAGGTTTGGCTTTTTTTTCTTCTTCTCTCTCCTTCCTTATATTGCCAATTAAGAATAAGAAATTGGAAAAATCCGCTTTGGCATTAATAGGCAATTAAGTTGAAAATATAACTAAATGCCAAAGGGACAATAAAGATTTCTGGACATTAAAACCTTTTTCTTCTATAAGCAGGAAGGGAGAGAAAAAGAATAAGGGCAGGATCTGGAAGAGGGAGGAGACTGCCTGAACTTTAAAAGAATCTAAAGTAAAATTTCAATAAGACTTCTAAAAGATACATTTTAACTGAAACTTTGCAACTAAATAGTAACCCCAGGAAAAGAAAGTGAAAAGAAAGAGCAAAAAGAAACAGTTTGTGTGTATTTGGATTACTTGGTGACTTGGATTTTTGGCTATTATATTTGAATGACTAAAATCAATCAGTTGGTTGTTTAATTTTTTTTACAATGGCATTACTTTTCGATGAATTGAAAATGGAACTTAAAAAGTACAAAGAAGATGCACAAGAAGGGAAGGGTTCCTTTGGCTTAGTTTTTCAATTCTTAGAAATGGAGATTTGGAACTATGAGAAACAACAAGAAAAGACTGCAAAACAAGAAGACTGGGACAAAGAAGAAGCCATCTTTAATGAACAAGTAATTCTATGTGGGGAAGAAAAAGGAAAGCGGGGAAAGAGAATGGAGAATTTAAGATTTAAAAAAACAACCAAAGAAAAATAATGCGAAAAATAAGTATAATACTGGAAAACAACAGAAAAGGGGAATACAGAAGAGAAAAGTAGAGGTAGAGAGACAAAGGGGTAAAAGGGGAGGGAGAAGAAGAGAGGGAAGAAGGAAAGGAAAAGAAGTTACAAAGGTCTGGAGCAAGATATAAAGAAACGACCTATTTAGAGATAATGGGTGAAAATCTAACTGAAAGGGGGATTCTGTAAAAGTACATGAGATTGTGTTGTTATATTTGAAATAGAAATAACTTTAGAAAATTGGAAACAATGTATGATTAAAATGAGGGGTAAAATAGTGTAATTTAGTGAAATGTTTGTGAATAAAATAAGTGAAATAAAATAAATGAGAAAATTGAATTAGAAAGGAACGGGAACATTTTAATTAGTTAATATTTTATAAAATATAAGTGAAGAGGGGGGGAATTGATTATGGAAAGCTAATAATTGTTCCCATAGAGGTATGATATTTAATTGAAAAGT